CGTCTGACGACCCGTCACTATTCGTCCGCCATGGCTCGACCCCGTTCTTTGTTCTTGTTTACGTTGACGACCTGGTCTTTGCCACTCCCGACTGACACGCACTGGCCTCCGTGAAGGAGGAACTGCAGAGGAGACACACTTGCACTGACCTTGGTGAGTTGCAGCACTACCTTGGCCTGCAGATCACCAGGGACAGGGTAGTTCGCACCATTACACTGACGCAGTCGCATATGGTCGAGCAGATCCTCACGCGGTTCCGCTTCCCGTTCTCCAAGGTACAGCTCACCCCTCTTGCTGTGGATCATGGGCTTACGGCTCCACCTTCGGACGAGTCATTTGAGTCCAGTGGTCCATATCCTGAGCTGGTGGGTTGTCTCATGTACCTGATGACCTGTACTCGCCCAGACCTAGCTTACCCTCTTAGCGTCCTTGCGCGCTTTGTTGCGCCTGGGAGACACCGACCGTCCCACTGGTCCGCTGCTAAGATGGTGGCGAAGTATGTGGCGAGTACATCAGGCATGGAACTTGTCCTTGGAGGGAAGCAGCCAATTACACTCACAAGTTACTCAGACTTGTCGTGGGCCGACGACGCGGAGACGCTTCGGTCTACACAGGGGTACTCCTTTAGCCTCGGGACAGGTGCTGTCTCGTGGCGGTCGACTCGGGCGGCGTCCGTGGCTGGTTCCAGCTGTGAGGCAGAGGTGTACGCTGCGGCCATGGCCGCTCAGGAGCTTCGCTGGCTGTCTTTCCTTCTCACCGACCTTGGTGAGCGGCCTCGCTCTCCCCCAGTCTTGTTCGCCGACAACAGGTCTGCTGTCCTGTTGTGAGAGGAGCCCCAACTGGTTGGGAAGGCGAAGCACATCCAGCTTCGTTACTTCCTTCTGCGCGAGTTGCCGCAGCGTGGCCAGGCGCTCGTTCGACGTGTTGTCTCTGAGGCCAACACGGCAGATATCTTCACCAAGGCGTTGCCGCCTTGTTACCACCAGCGTTTCTGCACCCAGCTTGGCCTTGTGCCTACCCGTCCCCACTTGCTTACGTAGAGATGCCTTGTCCTGCATGTCTTGTACTCTTGCATCTCTTTATATTTGCTATATACCTGCATGTGGACTGGCCTTGTGGCCCCTTGTTTGCTCTCGGAGTGTGTGGTGCCTTTGAGCTCCACCCTTAGATTTGTCTTGTTCTTGTGGACTGGTCTTGTGGGCGTTGCTTGCTCTTGTTGTTTCTACAGGACTACCATCACCTAGACTATGGGGGTGTATCAAGCTATAATTCTATAGTTTGTGTAGTTCTAGTCTAGGTGTTCTCCCTTAGGTTATTTTCTACTTGCACTAGGGCTAGGTTTTTTACTTTCTGTTTTAGTCAATTTACATTGTGACAACCTCAGCGCCGCGAAATACGCCGACACCATCGCCAAGCGCTTCGGACTCACCCCAACTGCTATCTCCACGCCATATCGCTACACCGCCGGAAATCACAAGGAAGCCTCTGCCCCTCTCAAGCCCGCCGGCATACGCAACTACCAACAAAAGCAGGGATGTCTACTCTTCGCAGCCATCACCTGCCGACCGGACCTCTCGTACTCCGCAAGCCAACTAGCCTACCTCAAGAAACCTAAAGCAGAGCACATGGCGGAGCTCGACCGCGCACTCCACTACCTCGTCAGCACTCCAACGATCAGCCTAACCTACAACAAGACCGGAACCTCGACGCCTAAGTTGATCGGCTACGTCGACGCTGATCACGCCGGAGACTCTAACAACAAGCACTCACACACCGGCTACTGAGAAGAAACGAGAATGGATGAACTATGAAACAGTTGGGTACAAGTACTAACCCTAGTTGGGTTGTACCCCATATGGGCTACCAAACTAGAGCCTACACAAAAGCATAAGCTCTAATGTTCTGACACACCCCCATAGGCAAATTGGGGGAGAACAAGCGGTCACAAGACCAGTCCAGCAAAGCAAAGCAAAGCAAGCTCAGGGTGGATCACAAAGTCACCACACATTCCGAGCACAAGTTCAAGGCCACAAGGCCAGTTCACATGCAGTACATATATATATAGAAAGCTAAACAAGCAAGAGAAGGTGTATATATATGTAACAGTACAAGCAAGGTCAAGAGGTGAGCAAGTGAGGTAAGACAGGCGAAAGACCAAGCTGAGTACAGAAGCGCTGATGATCACAAGGCGCAAGTGCCTTGGTGAAGATATCAGCAGTGTTGGCCTCAGAGGCCACGTACGCAAGACGCAGCTGACCATGCTGCTGCAGCTCACGAGCAAGGAAGTAACGAAGAGCAATGTGCTTCGTTCTATGCTCCAGTCTCTTCTCTTGACACAAGGCCAGCATGGCCTTGTTGTCTACGTACAGCACTGGAGGAGAACGAGGCACCTCTCCAAAGTCACACAGCAGGTAGGTGAGCGAGCGAAGCTCCTGTGCAGCCATGGCCCCGGCATAGATGTCAGCCTCACAACTGGAGCCGAGAACAGAAGACGAGCGGGTAGCCCGCCACGAAACAGAGCCGGAACCAAGGCTGAAGGTGTAACCCTGTGACGACCGCTGCGTAGCCTGGTCGTCCGCCCAAGACGCATCTGCGTGCCCAGTGAGGACCACTGGACTCCGCCCTCCAAGCACAAGCCCCAAGCCTGATGTACTGCAAAAGTAGCGCAACACCCTCTTCGCTGCAGCCATGTGCTCCGGTCTGTGTCTCTCAGGAGCAACATAGCGTGCGAGAATGCTAAGAGGGTATGCAAGGTCAGGTCGAGTGCAGGTCATCAGGTACATGAGGCAGCCAACAAGCTCTGGGTACGGGCCACTCGACTCTACGGACTCATTTGAAGGCAGAGCTAAGAGCGAGTGGCGAGTAGGCAGAGGAGTGGCATGAGGCGAGGAGTACGTGAAGCCGAAGCGCTGAAGGACCTGTTGCACCATGTGTGACTGAGTCAGGGTAATGGTGTGGCGTGCTCTGTCCCGGGTGATCTGCAAGCCAAGGTAGCTGCGCAGTTCACCCAGGTTTGTGCACGTGTGTCTCTCCTGCAGCTCGGACTTCACATGGGAGAGTCCAGCAGTGTCAGCTGTGGCAAAGACCAAGTCGTCGACGTACACGAGGATGTAGAACGGCGGCAAAGAAGTGTCGGTACGGAGAAACAGCGACGGGTCAGCAGTAGAGGGAGCAAACCCAAGAGCCGCAAGCGTAGTCCTCAGTGTGTCGTGCCACTCGCGCGGTGCCTGGCGGAGACCGTAGACTGGCCGCCGGAGGCTCCACTGGGTGCCAAGAGGAAAAGTCCAAGTGAAGCCAGGTGGGCGGCGCAGCCAGATCTCCTCGTGCAGGCTACCCTGCAAGAAAGCAGTGCTGAAGTCAAGAGAGTGAAGCTCGTAGTCGCGCTGAGCGGCTATGTGCAGCAGCACCCGAAGAGTGGTCATCTTCGGGGTGGGAGAGAAGGTCTTAAAGTAGTCAACTCCCTGCCGCTGACTGAAGCCACGAGCCACGTAGCGCGCCTTGAAGACAGGCGGGGAACCCGGCGGCCGCTTCAACCTGAAAATCCACATGCCACTGACGATGTTCGCCCCAGGTGGGGGAACCTCGTCAATGTAGGTGCCTGTAGACTTCCAGGAAGCCATCTCTGCGTCCATAGCTGCCTGCCACTGAGAGGAGTAGGGACCCTCTATCGCCTCCGCGTAAGAGCGCGGAGTCGGGATGTCAAGTGCATCCGGGTCTCCCTCAGGGGTGAGCAATACGGACACGAGATGAGGTGAAGCAGCAGCCAAACACTGGAACTCCTCCTGCCTGTCCTCAAGGACGTCCGTGCCAAGGGCACACTCACCCCCGATTGACGGAGGACAGACAGACTCGGACTCAGTGACAAGACTAGCAGCGAAGTCTAGACGAAAGCGAGTAGCAAAGTCAACGAGCTCAGCAACAAGAGCAGACGCAGCAGTGGACTCAAAGGAAGGGTCAGTGACGACAGTGGCAAGGAGACGCGTGACAGTAGGACTGGCAGCACGAAGAGAGTCCGACTCCGGGTCGGGAAGAGCAGGAAGAGAGGACTCAGGAGGAGAGGGCAAAGGGGCACGCAGAGGAGCAGTGGACGGACGCAGAGACATCCGGTGCATGCCAGGGACAGGAGGAGGACGCTGACGCGAACTGCGACCACTAGTGCGAGCAGCACGGACAGGCAACGTAGGACGAGACGCAGGCTCACGACGCTTAGCAAGACCTCCAGTACGAGCAGTGTAGGGAGAAGGAGCAGGCAGTGGGGATGCGGGCTGTAACTGTTATTGTGACGAGACAGGCTGTGGACACTCTAACGGAGGAGGAGGACTAGCAGAAAGCGGGAGACCAAGAACCTGCTGAAGGAGCGGAACAAAGTACAGCCAAGGCCGCGCGGCGACTCTAGACACAGCAGGAACAGCACCAGCACCCCCAGGTGCAGCACCAGCACCAGCAGCACCTCCAGCTCCAGAACCTCCAGCAGCACCAGTAGCACCCCCAGCAGAAACGCCTCCAGCACCAACAGCAGTAGCCTCAGCGCCAACACCCGCAGCAGCTCCAGCCCCAGTCGTACCCGCAAGCCGAGCAGCGCCAGTACCTCCAGTACGAGCACCTCCGTAACCCACGGCACCAGCACCCTCAGCATCCGAAGAACCTCCAGCTCCAGCAGTACGCCTCCAGCCGCCGGGCAAACCACTCACGCAGCTCGTGTGGAGAGAGCGGCTCCCGCAAAGACAAAACACCCGGAGAACCTCCAGGCCCAGCACCGCCGGACGCCTCACAAGCAGGCCCAGCTCCCTCAGGCTCCACAACCCCAAGCTCAGCACCTCCAGACGTAGCACCCCCAGGCTCAGCACCCCCAGACGCAGCACCCTCAGGCTGAGCACCCCAAGTCTCAGGACCCCCAGACGCAGCACGCACACGCTCAGCACCCACAGAGTCAGCACCCCTAGGCTCAGCACCCTCAGCAGCACCAGAGTCACAAGTGACCTTGACAGGCTCGACTGCGTCTACCTGGGACACACCTGAAGGGGCAGGACCCTGAGGGGGGAGGGGGTCTACTGGGGGGGGACCTGGTACAAGGAAGAGCGGCGGCGGGGGGAGGGACGGAGTGTGGTAGGGGAAGAGATGGTAGTAGGGGACCGACTCGTCAAACGTGACGTCCTGGGAGGACAGAACACGGTGAGAGGTGGGGTGGTAGAACTGCCACCCTGGCGCGTTAGGGGGGAAACTAAGGAAGACGCAAGGAGCAGCACGAGGGGACAGCTTGTCCGCAGACAAGTCGCGAACAAACGCCCGAGATCCCCAGACACGGAACGCAGACGCATCGCCAACCTTCCCCGTCCACAGCAAGGCCGGGGAGGTCTCCGGGCGGGAGACCCTGGGGTGGAGGTTGATCTGATGCGCCGCGTACCTAACCGCAAACGGCCACAGAAAATGGGGGGCAGCCGCATGCATCATGGACGTACGAGCGACATCTATGACCATGCCAATGCGGGCAAGAGGGGGGAGGGAGAACACCCTTCAAAGACAGGGGTGCGGGGGTCACCACGAGAGGCGCCTACAGCGACTATGCTCTTCTCCGCTGCTAGGAGGGCCTTCTGGAGGAGGTCAACGGTGAGAGTGGTGGTGCACACTGCGAGGAAGTGGTCCCTGAATAAGCGAAGGGAGTCAAGGAGCCGGGTGACTATGTAGTAGAGGGTGATATACATGGGGGGAGGGTTCTTGGCGCAGAACTGAGCAGGAAGCGCAGCGCGGTAGCGAGTGTCACTAGTGCGGAGGTGCGTAATGAGGTCAGCGACTGTAGGAAAGGCAGCAAGGTCAGGGAAGAGGTACGGTAGCATGAGACGGCTCAGTGCAGCGGTGGCAGGGGAGGAGTAGCGTGCAACTACAGCGTCGTACAAGGTCTGAGCACTCTTGTACTGACTAAAGTGCGCACGCTCACAGGTAGGGAGGTGGCGACGCACAGCAATACGTGCAGCAGCATCGCGCGTGGCCCACTGTGAGCGAACAGTGGCGTCAGCATCAGCAGCAGGAGCAGGAGAGGCACCAGAGTTGAGGTCAAAGAGGGAGAGACCGTCTGCCCTATCGCACTGTAGGAAAAGCTGCAGGTCATCTACCCAAACGTCAAAGTCAATGGCCCGACCCTCAGCGTCAAAGGCGAGGACACTAGGGGTAGCCATGACAGCAGTATACTAGCAGCGCGAACAGTAGGGTAGGGGCAGTGCAGTGACAGAGGCGCCGCACTTACTGAACAGGGCAGGCGACTCGGCGGCTCGTCTGCGGGCAGCTCGGTGGCTCGGCTGCTCGGCGACTCGGCTGCTCGGCGGCTCGGCTGCTGGGCGGCTCGGCGGCTCGACGGCTCGGCTACTGGGTGGCTCGGCGGTTCGGCGGCTTGACCGCTGGGCGGCTCGGCTGCTCGGCGGCTCGGCTGCTGGGCGGCCCGGCGGCTCGGCGGTTCGGCACCTGCGGCTCGTGCCTCCGTGACGACGGCCCGAGGGGCCAGGTGGAGCGGCGGCTCGAGGGTAGGTGGGGCGGCCGCGGGATCGGAGGAGGAGGCGCCGGGGCCGGGTAGGGTGGCGCACGGTGGGCCGAAAGGCGGCTCGTGGGGGGGCCGCAAGGGCGGCGGGCTGAGCCGATGGGCGGCGACGGCTGGCCGTAAGAGGACGGCGCCGAGCCGTTAGGGCCGCGCGAAGGGCCGGGAAGGGCGGCGCCGAGCTGCGAAGGGCGGCGACAGGCCGGGAAGGGCGGCAACGGGCCGCGTAGGGGCGGCGACGGGCCGGGTAAGGGCGGCGACGGGCCGGGACGGGCGGCGACGGGCCGGGTAAGGGCGGCAACGGGCCGAGTAGGGCGGCACCGGGCCGCAAAAGGGTGGCGACGGGCCGAGTAAGGGGCGGCGACGGGCCGCGTAGGGCGGCGACGGGCCGCGTAAGGGCGGCGACGGGCCGCGTAGGGCGGCTACGGGCCGAGTAAGGGCGGCTCGAGGGAGGCCGCTAGGGGCGACGCGACGGGGCCGAAGGAGGCCTAGGAAGGCGCGACGGTAGAGAGGGCACACGAGGCGCGACTCGGGCCTAGGCGGAGCGCGCTCCGGGCAGGAAAAAAAAAATTCGACTTGGTGGGCCCTAGGAACAGTTCCCACGAGGGAACCTGCTCGATACCATGAGAAGAAACGAGAATGGATGAACTATGAAACAGTTGGGTACAAGTACTAACCCTAATTGGGTTGTACCCCATATGGGCTACCCCACTACAGCCTACACAAAAGCATAAGCTATAATGTTCTGACAGCTACATCTACCGACCCGAGCCTATCGGACCTATTTCGTGGCAGTCGAGCAAGTAAAAGCTAATAGCTCTCTCCTCAGCTGAAGCAGAATATATTGCACTCTGCTCAGCCACCGAGGAAGGACTCTACCTTCGCGAACCACTGGAAGAAGCGAAGCTGGCCCAGTTACCCAGCTTCTCTCTGTTCCGCGACAACCAGTCAGCAATTCGCATCGCCAACAAGAATGGATTCGCAAACAGAACGAAGCACATCGCCCTGCAATATTTCTTCGTGAAAGACGAAATCGAGAAGGGGAGACTTGAGCTGTTCTACTGTCCCACGTCCGAGATGGCAGCCGATTACTTGAACAAGAAGCTCGGGAAACAGAATTTCATGTACTGCGTGTGTCAAATGTTATATCTGCTATAGTTTGTTTAGGCTGTAGTGGGGTAGTTACTATGGGGTACAGTAAGTTTAGGGTTTCCTACTTGTACCCAACGCTTTCCTAGTGCAATCACTTCTCTCATTCTGACATGGTATTACGAGCCTAGGTTAGGAACCTAGGACCGCTAGTTCCTAAGGGCCCACCGTTCCGCTAGAAGCACCCTCGTGCGCCGTCCCTTACACGCGCCCTCGTGCGCCTCGTTCCTAGTGCGCCCTCGAGCGCCCCTTCCTCTCACGCTGCCCGTGCGCAGCCGCTAGCCGCCCGCGCGCGCGGCTTGTTTTTCGAGCGCCTAGCCCGCAAGCCGCCCGCGTGCGGCCCCTTTTCTCGTGCGCGCGACCCGCTAGCCGCCCGCGCCGTCGACATCGCCCACGCGCAGCCTGCCCTAGCCTCGCGCGGCCCCTAGCACAGCCCGCGGGCTGCTCGTCGACCGCCGCGCGCCGCCGCCTCGTGCACGTAGGCCGCCGCCCGCGCTAGACCGCCGCCCGCACGTAGGCCACCGCCCTCTTGACGGCTGCCGCCCGCACACAGGCCGCCGCCTCGCACAACCGCAGACCACACGCCGGCCCACCCTCTCTGACCGAGCCGCGTCGCGTCGTCCTGCCCGAGCCGCACCGCCCTGACCGAGCCGCGCCGCCCTACTGTGCCCCACCTGCAGCACCTGCTGCTACTGTTCCTACTGCTGCTACTGCCACTATGGCCAGTCCTACCGTTCTCACTTTTGACACTGAGGGCCGTCCGTTTAAGTTTCGATGACACTGACGTTTGGCTCGATGACCTGCATCTGTTCCTCCAGATCACTGCCAAGGACGATGTTTCCCTGTTTGACCATACGTCCGGCGCCGCTCCCGCACATGCTGCTACTGCTGACAATACAGCTCGCTCACAGTGGCAGACCCGTGACGCTCATGTTTGCCTAGCCATTCGCAGCCACCTGCCGTTAGATGAGCGCGAGCACTTTGGCCAGCATAAGACCGCTAAGGAGCTGTACGATGCTGTAGTTGCACGCTACTCCTCCCCTGCTACTGCTGCGATAGGCCATCTCTCGCTGCCCTATCTCTTCCCCGATCTGTCTGCCTTTGCCACTGTAGCTGACCTCATAACGCACCTCCGTACTAGTGATCTCCGCTACCATGCCGTGCATCCCCCCGATTTCCTAGCCAAGAACCCTCCGCCGATGTACCTCACACTCTACCACCTAGTCACCCGCCTCCCTGACTCTCTTCGCACTGTCAGGGACCACTTTCTCGCCCTCTCCCCCACCGACCTCACTATCGACTTGCTCTAGAAGGAACTCCTATCAGCTGAGAAGAGCATTGTAGCTGTGGTGCCTCTCGTGGCGACCCTCGCGCTCCCTTCTTTGAGGGGTGCTCCCTCGTCCCCCTCCTCCCCTCCATTGCATCTGCTGTTGCTGTCGACTACCTCGGTGGTGAGGGGGTCGGGGCTGCGTCTGCTCCTAGTGGGAGGCGCAAGGGCGGCAGGGGCAAGGGGGGCAGGGGTGGTGAGGAGGCGGCGGGGGCGGCGGTGGTGGAGGGGGTGGAGGGGGCGGGGGTGGTGGCGGTGGTGGGAGTGGTGCTGGTGGTGGGGGGGTTAGTGGCGGAGCAGGGGGTGGTGGCGGCGGCGGTGGTGGGGGTGGTGGGGGTGGTGGTGGCAGTAGTGGCGACAGTGGAGCTGGTGGCGGGCGCAGTGGAGCGGTGCAGCGTGGGGGGCTCGGCGGTGGCCAGAGGCAGCAGCAGCAATGTCCCAGCGAGACTCCGTCGCCCTAGCAGCTCCGTGAGTGGTACTCTCAGCGTGGGGGGTCTGGGGGTGGAGGTACCTGCCCGTACGTCATCCGCACGAGTGAACGCACTTGCCAGACCTGTGGGAGGCTCCGCACGGCGCAGCGCTGCTTCTTTCGTCTTGACGACGCCTGGCGCGAGCAGCTTCCTGAACCCTCTGAGCTGCCCCGCTGGGCTGATCTGCTTAAAAAGAACATTGATAGCTTTGCTCTTGATTTTCATGCCATCCTTGGTGCTATGTATGCATTGACTATTAGCGTTGAGGGTGACTGTTACCTGCGTGTACCGCCCGACCCGGGTATTGGGACCAGTGAGGCTGCCACTCTAGGTGCTAGTGCGTCTGCTGCCCTAGGTCTTGGTGAGGCTGCTGCTCTAGGAGCTAGTGAGTCAACTGCTCCAGGTGCTCGTGCGTCTACGCCTGCTAGTACTGCGTCTACTGACGCACTGCACACCTTCACACTGGACTCGGGTGCTTCCCGCTGCTTCTTTCGTGACCGCACTGTCCTTGAGCAGCTAGCTCGGCCTGTTGCTATCTCCTTCGCCGACCCCTCTGGGGGCCCGGTCCTTGCAACCTCCTCCACTGCCCTCCCTTGTCTTGCCGTCCCGTGCGGCACCCTTTCGGGTCTTTACCTCCCCTCGTTCTCTACGAACTTGGTGGCGGGCTCTGCTCCCCACGACGGGGGTGTTCACCTGTTCACCTTTGCCTATGAGCGTGTGACCCACTGTACGTGTGCTCAGACGGGTCGCCACCTGGCTACCTTCACTCGGCAGCCGGGGTCGAACCTGTACACACTGACCACTGAGTCCCCTCAGGTAGTTGCGTCTGCGTCACCTGTCGGCCTCCTGCTTGTGTTGCTCCCTGTCGCACCAGACAGTCCTCTGGCACCACCGTCTTGGTCACCCGTCAGTGCAGCGCCTTTGTGGCATGCACTCCCGGTACCTTGTCTCTGGTCTTCCCAGGGTTCTCCCTCCCCTCCCACCCTCGCCTGCTCCTCCCTGTCTTCCCTATGTCGAGGGGTAGCAGCGCGCCACTCCTCAATCCTCCTCGTTCCCTCCCACAGAAGCTCCCCTGCAGACTCTCCACCTGGACGTGTGGGGCCTAGCCCGCGTCCGTGGACAGGGCCACGAGCGGTACTTCCTGCTGGTCGTCGACGACTACACGCGCTACACCACGGCCTTCCCCTTGCGCACCAAGGGTGAGGTCCCTGATGTTTTGACCCCTTGGATCCGCGCTGCTCGTCTCCAGCTCCGCGAGCGATTCCAGTCGGACTTTCCCGTCCTGCGTCTGCACTCTGACAGGGGTGGTGAGTTTTCCTCCGACCACTTGGCAGCCTACTGTGCGGAGCACGGCATCCGCCAGACGTTCACACTTCCGGCCTCTCCACAACAGAATGGGGTTCCTGAGCGCCGCATTGGCTTAATCATGGAGGTCGCTCGTACCTCCATGATCCATGCGGCTGCCTCCCATTTCCTGTGGCCGTTTGCAGTCCAGTGTACTACGCATCAGCTCAACCTCTGGCCCCGTGTCTCTGCTCCGGAGACCTCGCCCACACTGCGTTGGACGGGGGAGGTTGGCGATGCGTCGCCATTCTGGGTCTGGGGATGTCGAGCCTTTGTCCGCGATACGTCCGCGGACAAGCTCTCCTCCCGTGCCGTTCCCTGTATCTTCATTGGCTTTGTCCCTGACGCGCCTGGCTC